AAGTGCGATGTGCCCAAGAAGCAAGACGGCAGTCAGCTGCATGCTGCAGGTGACTCTACAGGATCCCCTTGTATTTATGGGTAGTACAGGGGGTATATGATACAAAGTCCATAGTATAGGGGTGTTTTTGTATTTAACCCTTAAACAAACGAGGCCTTAAAAGTTAAAAGATTGGAGATTTTATAGCGAACGCAATAAACATCAAAAAAACAGTCGCTCGATTTTCTCCACTCCCCACCATTTCAAACATCAGATTTCAGAACGAAGCAGTGGTGGCGAAACTCGGCGTAATCGATTTCTGCAATTGCGCGTAAAATCGCAGTGTCGGCGGCGGACCACCGGAGTAATTGGTTTCTGCGATTAGCGGCGGCGGCGACGGACCACGGGAATCGCTGGTTTCGTTGGTCGGCGGCGACGGCGAATCCTCTTAAACGACAGACTATCACTTTATCATATTGGTAAATTTCGAGATTCATTTGTCAATGTGTACGAGTTGCTTTCTTACCTCTTTACGTGATGAACATATATTATTGATCTGTGTTGATTTGACTTCTTCATCTAGGGTTTTTGAATGTTTTCTGTATTACAGTTTCTGTTTGTGAAATTTATGTTTTTTTTTTCAGTCTGATGAGAACACTTCTTATTTGTTACCGAAAATTATTTGCTTTTCTCATTTCTGTTTATAAGTTAATAGGTGTCTGAACTAACAAGTAGATTGAGAAGTAATTGTAAAAGAAAATAAAATTCTTTATTTTCCGAAGAGAATGTCGGTGAATTTGTGAATGACATCTCTTAAACGGCATAGCATTCGATCTTCTGGTTACCTTTAACGGTGAATGTAAGTCTTTGATCTTTTAGTTCTTATAGTTAACTTCGTTCTGTGATGCTATAGGAATTGTATTACTGGCGTCTTGATTTCGATCTGACCCCAGTTCGTTGTCTTCGATGTATTCGTTTTTCGTGTAATTCTTTGACATAGATTTTGATTTTCATGAAACTCATGTTTCAAATTTGGTTTCTGAACTAATTGTGCTTTTTTTTTTCTGCACTCAAACTTGTGATTGTTGGTTGATCGAGATTATTAGATGTACAAATGGTGTTCGTAAAGTGATATACCTCTTAGTTTAAGTTCAAATTCTTTCCATTTGGAGTCATTTCAAATCATTCTCATAATATTTCATTTCAATTCTTTCCATTCAAATCAAGGCTCCGAGTGTTTATGGATCTGATGAAGATACGAGAAGTTACACTACTAAGTGATGCAATTATAATTTATTTATTTTTTGCTAGATAGATATTTTAAATCAAATTAAGTTGTTTTTATTACACTGACATGCCCATTGAATCTTATGTTGATCTATTTCTCTGCAAACGTATGGTACTTTCAATCAAGAACCGAGTCTATAGCTCACTTCTAGATCTTCGATTTAAAGTTTTCTGTAGATGCGTCTGAGTAATACTTTTTTGTTTGATTCAGTCTGGAACAATTTCAGTATGTTGTACTTGTGCTTGCCTTTGTAGTTGAGCTAATTGGTGACTAAAAGAATGGCTCGGAAAACCAAGCGATTTTCCACTGGTTCCACACTTGTTGCCGATAAAATCAGAAATTCTGCACGTTGAACTGATTTGCAATTGATTCAAATGTAGGACCGTTGCACGAAGGACTTCTCTGTTTCTTCTCTTCCTCTTTATTTTTTATTTTTGTGTTTTCCGTATTATTTTTTCTCTTCTCTCATCCATAACTCACGTGGAAATGCCTCAGTGGTACAGGATAGATTATTTAATATTTTGACTGATCTAGAGGCCTCGTTTGGTTGGGGATATTAACCATGATTAACTAAATAATTGGACTTTATTCGATGTTTGGTATACCCAATAACTTCCCAGGTCGACCCGTAAATATTACGTTATCATGGCTTATCTTGCCTTTTAGGGAGTTTTTTTATTTGTTTATTGGACCTTCCATGATCCAATAATACAATTGGATTTCATTAGATTATTTAATCTTATCTTGGCTAATCCAACTTGGCAACCAAACGAGGCCTTTGTGATGTGGAAACTGTTTTTAGCTGAATACATTTGACGTTCATTTCTTTGAGTTGCTACTTGCATTTCTTGTGTTCTAAATGCTTTACTTCGAACTGCATTTCATGATCGTATATTTTAAAACAACAAAAATGACGATGGTATTTTTGCTTTTTTCCGAAAAAACAGTTGGAACCTAAATCATCGATCATTTGATATGTGCTAATAAACAAGAGAGTGAAGCATGTCTGGTAATCGGACTTTCGTGGATGAAGACGGTTCTTCAGCATCAGGAGACGAGGCAAATTTGTTAGATGGGGGCAATAAAAATAATTTTATGAGTACAAATTCAGGTAGACATAATAATAATAATAATAACAGTAATAAGAGAAGCAGAAAAGCAACAGGTGATGCTATTGTTGATGCTATGTTGGAAATAGCTGCTGCCTCCAAAATGAGAGCTGCTGCAATAACGAGGAATGAGGAGCGTTTTGCTATTAGCAAATGCATTCGAATATTGGACGACATGCAAATTGCTGACCAAAGTCTTTATTTTTATGCTTTGGATTTGTTCGAAAATCCTACCGCAAGAGAAATCTTCGTGTCGCTCAAGGCTGAAAGACGATTAGCGTGGATGCAGGGCAAGTTCAGAGTCTTCTCAAGCTCAGCTGCCTGACTAGGTTTATACTTTCTCATTTTTTTTTTTTTTTTTTTTTTTGTCGACTGTTGTCGGGTTTTGTTTAGAACTTAGGCCATGTACTACTTAGTTTGAATTTATGGTTAAAACTATTTAATTGGGTTAGTGGTCACATATATTTTCTTGTTGCTTCTCCTTGAAAGCCATGGCATTGTTTTTTTCTGATTTACAGTATGAACTTGTTGTGTTAACTCAATATGTTTTTATATATATATAGGATGGGATCTTAGCTTAATCCCACTCTGTTAGATTTTATCTTTTTACCCTTTTGCTTTTACAGAAAAAGAAAACTTAATATAATCATGGGTTAATAGCATTTAACCCCCTTTAGTTTGAGTTTTGTGCAGATAATGCCCTTGTACTTTCAATATAAGCACATGACCCCCTGTAGTTTGAACTTTGTGCACATGACCCCCTTGTACTTTTCATATAAGCACATAACTCTTCTATGGTATTCCACTTGGTAAATAATCATGCGCATTAGGAAAAGGAAATTTTTGAAAGTACGAGGAGGTTATGTGTTTATATTAAAATACAGGGGAGTCATCTGCTATTTTGAAAGTACAAGGGGTCATTTGCACAAAGTTCAAACCATTGAGAGTAAGTGTTATTTACCCTATAATCATCTATTATTGCATCACGGGTATGAACAAGAGAGCGGGGTGTTATTTGACCTAGTTCGAATTCCTTTATTAACACTTTGCAGTTCGAACTTCGTTGGATTTTTATTTTCCTTATCTTTTTTTTAAGAAAAAAAAAAAAAAAAACTCAATAGAATGCATTCAAGTTTTTCATTATGAAAAAACGTCAATTTCATTATGAAGGCGATTCGGACATTAGAATATGAGTAATGAACCTGGGTATAACACTTGACATAAAAGAAACTCTACAAGATAGTTTTACTATTTCATGAGCCGTTCTATTTCCTTCTCGCAAGACATGGCGAATTTGAAATTCTTCAAATGTGTTGGCTAAGAGTTTAATGTCAGAGATAATATTCTCGTAGCTCGAGCGAGAGCCTATTTCACCTTCAACTGCTGCAACAAAGATACTGGAATCGCTTTCCAAGATGGCTTTAGGAAAATGGTGATCGCGGACAAACTGTAGGACTTTTAGAGAAGCAATAGCCTCAGCCGTGATAGGGTCTAGATATTGCTTCCAACGTGTAGAAAACCAAGCGACACAACGACCGTCGGAGCAACGACCTAACCAACCTAAACCACAACCATCTTCAGGTGATTGAAGAGATGCATCAAAATTAACTTTGATAACATCCCCAAGGGACGCCTCCCATCGAGTTGTTGTTCTTCTGTTGGCTTGAGGAAGTTTCGGTCCGAGCACCTCTGTAGCAAAGCTCCGCAAATCCGAAATGTATTCTTTTGCAAAGAAAATTGTGTCCATCGCCGACCACTTTCCCTCGTTGAAGAAGTTATTATTCCTTGTGTTCTACTTAGAAAATATGTATTTGTCTTCAATGTCAATAACAGTATATTTTTATTTTTTATTTATTTTTTGCTATAAAATTTAGGGAAATTTGGTTTAGCCCCATGTAGCTTTAAATCCAAATCATAATTAACAATTTTGTACAAGTCCCATCATTTTTTTTAATGGGAAAATTGCCTAAAAGAAAAAAAAAACCATCTCAATACAAAATAAAATACAAATTAAGGTCCCGTTTGGTTGGCAATATTAGTCAAGATTAACTAAATAGTAAGGTTTAGTTTGATGTTTGGTTAGCTCTATTAGTTTCCAGTTTGATGTTTGGTCAGTCCTATTATTTTCCGGTCGACCCGCCAAAATAGTTGTCATTGCTTATGTTGGCTAATTAGGAGATAACTAATTGGATCTTGAGAGGATCAATAAAATTATTTTGCTATGATTAGATAAGTTAATGACAAAATTGTCCTTCTAGCTTTTATTTATTTATCACAATGACTTATTCAATTATTTAAAAAAAATAATAAATATAAATAAAAATAAATAAAATTCGAAAACATTGAAAAAATCGATTTTTATTTAAAAAGAGATAAATCGATTAAATAAAAAATAAAAATAAAATTCTAAAAATATTTTTTTTTCGAAAAATAATTTTTTTCTGAAATAAAAATCGAAAAATAAAAAAAAATAATAAAAAAATTATTTTTTCCTAAAAAAATATATATTTTTTCGAAAATAAAGTTCGAAAAATATTTTTTTCGAAAAATAATTATTTTTTGAAAAAAAAATTCGGAAAACCTGAATTAGACAAAAAAATCGAAAAATAAAAAAAAATCGAAAAAAATAAAAAATAACAAAATATAAATATTGAAAAGAAGAAGAAAAAACTATTTACAATAAGAAAGGGTAATTCGGTCATTTTCATGTAATTGGGTTGATGTAAAGGAAACCAAACATCAAATACTATTAAATAATGGTGAGATAAAAAATTCAAAATTTGATAACAAACGAGAATTATCTTACCTTTGCTAATTTTATCTTGGCAACCAAACGAGGCCAAAAGAAATTAGAATATGCGGAATGAAATTGCAAATGGCAATAGCAAAATGAGAAGTAGACTACCCCAACAATACATCAAGTTGGAACAACCAGTTCTTCCTGAATATCCTGATTCAACGCTAAAGAATTTCCTGCCACCAACATATAGTATTCATCTCTACCTGGATCTCTACCTGGTGATAAATAAAGCAGTCGTAACCCTGTTGATCTCTTCAAAATTTAAAAAAAGGGACTTTCTAGAGATCCTAACTGACTGCAAATTGCAACATCGACATAGAAACAAGACTACAATTTAAAAACTTCTCAAAACCCCTTCTTTCTTTCTTTCTGCTAGAAATCTTCGCTTCAGATTTCAAGAACAAAATCACACATGTTCTTCTAAGGTAGCATTCTTCAAGCTTCGTAGCCATGGCCATGTCCATTTCATTCCTCTTTTGGTCACTCCCTAACAAATCCTTCTTCCAATCATCGATTTTGAGAAATTAGAGTGGCGCTGGAAAGCAGTATATTTTTTTCCTACGATTACTTCGTTTGAAGCAAGTAATTTAGTCTCGCCCATTCCTACGACACGTTATTGTTTGGGCGTGTTTATTCTATACGTACACTTAAAAATTGATTTAAATTTCTTTAATAAATTTGGTCAAGGAAAATATGGCCTTATTATTAAATTAACATTAGCATTAGCATTAACATTAGCATTAACATTAACATTAGCATATTAATATTAGTATTAGTATTTATATTTGCCTTTTAATAATTACTGTAGTTAAAGGGAAATCAATTATAAAAAAAAAAATGCCATAAAATTCACATATTTGAAGATTATTTGCCCAAAGTCATAGTTCATACTTCATACGAGGTGGATACGAATGGGGAGTTTTTTTTTCTTAGAAAACAAAAGTGGTAAAATTATGATCAAAATTTAAAGTTATTATAATAATGTTTAATCTGATTTGTTTCTCACAATCCGACCTTAGCTCAGTTGGTAGAGCGGAGGACTGTAGTTGATCAATAGTAATCCTTAGGTCGCTGGTTCGAATCCGGCAGGTCGGACTCTTAGTTTTATTTTTTGCTTCAATGCTTACATGGATAAATATGTAGGTATGTTTTTTTTTTGATAATTGAATATGTAGGTATGTACTACTTTAATGCGGAGGAGTTTGTACTTTGTTAATTCAACAAGTTTAACAATACATACTCCAAAATATTTTATTTGTTTATCTTCTTCACATATTTCAAACTAGTCCATTTAAAATTGTGTTAATCTTCTTCACATGATATTCTCATTTTTTTATTTTTTCATTTTTTTTTATACTTTTTTTTTTTTTATAAGTTATCATGGTTTGCATTCAAATGATGTAAAAACTATTTTCAGTTTGAAGTTTGTAATTAGATGATTCATATTTTTTGTTAATTTGTTATTTGCATTTGGTGGAGTCCTCGGTAGCTTGGTGTTTCCAATTAAATAATGGAGATTATATTTTTAGTTTGTTATTTGCATTTGACAGAGTCATAAACGACAGTGTTGATTTTTTAAAACTCTGAGTTCTTGTATGATTTTTTAACGAATTGATTTATTATTTTTAAAATGGGAGATAGACGTTTAGGGGAATTCGATTTTGTATAGATATTTGAGGGGTTTGATTTGGTAGAGATATGTTTGGGGTTTTGATTTGAATTGATTAAGAGTATTTTTACCACAAATTGTACTATGAATCTATAAAAAAATAGGACCTTGGTTTATTCATGTAATGTAGAATCTAAAATCTAGGGGTTGATAGCAAATTGCTTCATAAATTAATATGGCGAGTTGAGAGTTTTTGTGGTGAAAATATTACAACTGTTGAAGAAACATCAAAGTTAAAATGAAATGGGGTGATATACATGACACAAATCAAATCAAACCTAAATACCTACGCGGGACAACATCAAATAGAATATTTTAACTAAATTTTTAGTCCACAAAATTATAAAATTGACATGCATCCTATTTTTTTTAGGGCTTATTTTAGATACCCCCTAAGAGGCAAATTAACTAGTGCTAAACCCAAAGGAAAATCTTTCTTTGACATACCCCCCTGGGGATAGGAAAGTACATTACTCCCCCTGCAGCCAAAATACGTTGGGCGACATAAATAAAATATTCGACAAAATAACCGCGCAGTTCCCCAAAATTCTAAATTACACGCAACATACCAGGACAGAGGATTTCGTCTCCAACCTACCTCCGACTGTGGAAACCGCCGACCACGACCATTTTCCGTCTTCCATCTCCGACAGAAACACAAATCTACTCGTTCCTACGCCGGCGTAGTAAATCTCCTCCTTAAAAAGTAGAACAATGGTGAAAAAAGCAAAAGCTATGAAGAAATCAGGTACTTTTTACAAAAAACTTTGTATAGGGGAATTCGCACTATATCTCGATTTTTTTTTCCTCGTTTCGCTGTTCTAAAGGATCTATGAGACGCATGCAGTGATATGTAGTCACTGGATGTTGTATGTAGTTTTGTAATCTCACCAAAGATCTGTTGCGATAACACAGGAAAATCAACACGAGCGGCGGAAGAGGAGTTGCAAAACCTAGACGCAGATATTTGTTATGTTCTACATCATCTATGTCAGCTGGCACCAAATATATACATTTTCTATAGATTTGCATAGTTGTATTAACAGTTAGCCATATATCGGCACATCTCTGAATCAACAACATACGGTTTTAGTTGCAACAAAATACTCTATAGTTACATGTAGTTATATTGTGTCTAATGTCACTCATTACCTTGCAATACATGCTGGTTTTTTGTTGTATAGATGAAGAAACATTGCTAGCGCGCCAGGCCCTACACAAAGGGGGGTACAGTTCGCAATACCGTTCAACTCTACATAAAACTGTTAAATTCTTCTCAGATGTCCACCTCCGGCCAGAGCACTACGATTGACTGCGACGTACACCGTTCTACAATCTTGTCCTACCTTTTGACAAACACAAAATAAGCGAGGCTTCGGTTAGAGGAACACAAACTGGTGTTTGGAAAATTATCAGGGTTTACGATGCTAAAGCACAGTCGTTTGTAATTGGAGGCAAGAATCTGACAATCGAACCAGAAGAATGTGAATTAATTTTTGGAATAAAGTCTGGGCCAGTACGGATGCGTTTTGACAGATCACAAATTAAAGGCCAGATGACGGGCTCGTGCATAGGAGATTTCACAATCATAGTCAAGTGACATTTTCAGATGTCAAAAGACAACTTATGGAATCTTTAGCAGGGAGAGAACAAGATGACAATGAAGACGTTATCAAGTTGATAGTACTTCACCTAATGAGCAGTTGCTTCTTTAACTCATCACCAAGCATCGTTGCTTGGTGGATGTTCAAGTATTGTGACAGCATAGCAAACATGGGGAGGTACAACTGGGCACGAGGGATTACAGAATTTTTACTAGATCATGTGAGATCATCCCCCGCTGATAAGGTGACAGGTTGCACTCCATTACTGCTGGTAATACTTCTGCCTACGACATCTAAACAAGCATAGTTATATATAGATATATGTAGTTTAAACATTGATGTTTCTGTTAAAACTAACAAGTCTTCCCTAAAAAATATATGCAGTACTGGCTATGCGAGCGCAGTAACCTGCTAGTGTCAACGACACCGAACGCATTCCCAAGATTTCTAAGGTGGAACCTAACAGACGTTGCAAGGTTACTGTCCGTGAAAGAAATTGCATCAATAACATCATCAGCAATTTGCACAAACAAAATCGTTGGAACAAACCGCGAAGAGGCTCTATTAAATTGTCACATAATCATCGAATATAGCAGCGACGAAGACAATCCAGAAAACTCTACCGATGAAGACATTGAAGACAATGTCCCAATTGCAATCTGGCAGAGAAAACA